AGTGGGCTATGAGCGTCGTTTTCAGTCATGGCAAATATTAATTAAAAATAGCTTTCAACCTGCGCAGAGGTGCTCCCTAACTCCTTACACAGGCAGGTAAAGGCAGCAATTGAGGAGATACTGTCGCTAAAAGCCTTTCTGGTCATGTTTTCAAAAAGGCAAAACAACAAACACCACGAGAGACCGATCCCATGACCTCTCGCCTACAAGCCTGGAGCGTTACCACTTACGCCACGTCAACCACGACGTGCTCCTTCCCGCTTGGCTTATAGTGGCGACTCCAATGATAGCGCTCATATACTGCGTTTAAGTACAGTGTTGAGGGGAAAACTTCCGTAACTCCGTTCAGAGCACCGTTTAGCAGATAAGAAAAACGGTTTCTAGCTTATCGTCTCAAGACGAATGCATAGGTATACACCTCATTGCAAATGGCCGGACCGGCCTGGTGACCTTTCCTCGTTAGGTTTTTTGGCGTCAGAACGATGGCCGACTGTATTCACGAGGAAGCTCGCTCAGTAGCGTTTTTTGTCTGGCCAACTTTAAATTCTCATAACTTTTCAGGGAAGTTCACGTTCTTTTAGTGTCCATTTTTTAATCAGCGTTCAATGAACTTTGCCCGCACACGCCTAAGGGTCTCCTCCCCAAAGTCCAATGGGTTAAGCTACAAAAGCTTTTCCTGGTAAGAAAGCCATTTGATCTTGGATTCCAACAAAATTCGGTCCCTGTGTTTGAGAGAATGAAATTATGTGGGTTAACAATGACTCCCTCTTAACCTCGGTCCAGTATGCAGTTAGTTATGGATGAGTATTGTCTTCTTAGAACAAGACCATAGCCCAAGGACAATGTGAGAGCCTTGAGACCCGCGCAAGGCCAACCACCGTGCTGATTAACGGGTTGCCCAAGTATCTAAGTAATTAAAGGTAAGCCCCGATACAAAACCGGCGAGAAAGGGTCCTCCGTAGCGATGACTGAGCTGCAGAACGACCTGGAAGTGGGGAGGAAAGCAAGAGATATCTTGGAAACCCCGAAATTAAGGCCTTAACCTCAACAAGGTTGGATGTGGAACGATGGCGAGACAGGGCGATCAAAGAAGACAAAACACGCAAACCAAAGAGCACGCTGATCTCTACATTGATGCGGTGGGTGGGAAGCGTTGCAACGGGGGTCGATGGTTGCAGGCCCGTAAGGATTAGCGCCCTAACCGCGCAATTTTTGCGACGAAGCTGGAGTGATCTAGGTAGGTACGGACCTTACAATTTCCCTAGCGGTATCCTCCTACATAGTCGGGCTAATCCCAGGGTTTGCCTTCAAGTATTGTAGTCTTATTGTTAGTCGTATGGTTGTCATTCACAAGGCAATAAGAGAATTAGTTGACTTTTTGTCGTAATTCGAAAAATTTCGCTAATATGTAATTCCGACCAAGGCACAGATGAAGAATGAGTGGAGCTTCTCGCTTTGCGGATACGCAGTGAATTTGAGTTCTAGCGCGAGCCGAGGTGATGCTTCAATACGTATTTAGCTTGATACGTACAATCAATGAGTCATAGATCTGGCAGTAGTGAAAATCAAAGTTTCCTTCCTTCCACATGAACCTCTCACCAACAAACTGACTCCATGGAGGAAAAATCGGTAGCTCTCGACCCAGGGGAGAAACAACTTGGCTAAGCTCAGCGCTTTCGGAACGGTTTTCAATCCTAGATCATTATTATAATATTGGCGAGTCATGTCAGTGCTCAGCCTTTGTCTAAAAAAGCTCAACTACTTCAACATCAATCTTTATAAAAGTGTGCATGGATCAAAGCTGCAAGAGTAAGTTGGTTGCAGACGAATGCCTGATGTGGTTTGCAGTTGCAGTTTTTCTCAGATTGAATTCAATTCGCGTGCAGAAGCACTCCATAAGGGTTGGCAAAGAAATGGTTCATTCAAAAGTCCCCCTTCGCAACAAGGAGAAGAAAGGACGAATGCATTCGTTATCTATTCCGCCACCGTGAAAAAAATGGAACTCCTGTGAGCAATTATTGGTTGGCGTGTCCTCCATGTGTTTGGCTTTTTACTGCATCCACTCACAGAGATTAGCAAGAAAAGCACAACGTTGACCCAACGACGTCAAGGTGAAAAAGGAGTTGGAGGGGGCAATTTCATTCTGCTCTGCGCCTTGAACGATACGAATCAAAGTAAAGCTACGGATATTTCTAGCGGGTACACATAAGAGCTTTGACGACACGCTCATTTAAAGTAACTTATTGATATTAACCTGGTGAAATAATTCACGCCATCGACATCCAATCCATCTTTCCTTATGGTTAGTGATATCTAGGCTCCTATCATGATCCTTATCGTTACAGTCGCAAAGCAGAACGGAGTGGTCCCTCCAACTCCATTTTCGGCGTCGGCACAGTCCACTCATCTGCAGTCTTTTGTAAGTTATGCACTGAAGAGGAAACAAATGAGTAATTTGAGGGGACTGTGACAGGATCCGAGAAAATATTTCAAGCCAACTTCCAAATAGGCTTATAATGATCCACATCTCTTAGAAGGGGCCAGAATTACGTGTTGAACTGCCCTTTGTGGCTTGAGAAAATGACGAATTTTTGCATGGAAGCGATAGAGGTTCTACAGGCTGACACCATCTTGCACAAACAGCGCCGCTCTCTGGAAGGTCTTCCATTAAGTATAATGAGGAGGCAGAAGCAAAGGTATACGGCCGGCAACTACACCAGGCTTTGCCGCACATTATAACATGAATCTCCGATTCAATACGTAGGAACCGAATTAGTTTCCCTTGAATACGGAAATCTTTTCTACGGACAAACATCTTCGAAATACTCCAGGCTAGGTCTAACTTCATAATAGACGAAGTTTAATTGGGCGAGTCTAGCAGTAAGAAGCGTGATGGAAGCGCCAATTCTTAGGACAGATGAGAGGGGAAGTGCAAAAAGTCACTTTGATAAATTAGGGCGACATCATGCAAATTTTAAGGGTCGCAAAGGAGATTTCTTGAGTTGATTGAAGTTTACGCCAGAATATGTACTTAGATTTTACTTCTGGAGTTTCTGAGTCCTCAAAGCGCGAAAAGTACCTTTCTCCATGGCCCGAGGTAATCTCACCAGAATGAAGAATCAACCTGCCGATCACCATCGAGTCAACATGCTTAGCGCGCTACAGCCTGAACCTTACATAAATTCTTCAATCTCTGTTCACCGGTCAATAGCCTCTCAGAGACACTAGCTCTGACTATACCAGATCGCTTTGGACCAGTGCTTGTGCTTGCTTTCTTGATGTCGTAATAGTACACAGTTTTGCTTCGCCCGCTATCGCGCGCATCACACGGCAGGCTTTAGCGAAATTGGAGGACCCATGGAATATCAGCATGAGATACTCCATTAACCATCTCACTATTGACTGTGTTAGACCCTCCACAGTTTCACTGAAGCTCATCGAGAATACGCGTGATAACGTCTGAGCTGAACTGGTATATTGATCACAACTCTGTAAACATCCAGCATTTTTCTTGAATTAAGATAATTTAGCGGTGAATAGGATTGCTGTCAGTCTCAAAATTAAAACGAAATATGCCTATTTACATAAGTGAGGAGCTAAGGCTTATCATTTATTTACTTTTACCATTATTTAGAACCCTGAAAGGATTAGCGGTTTAATGAGTCTGGGCTTTCGTGATAGAAATGAAACTTATCATTTGCTGAAGACTTGATTGAATTTATGCAATCGACTGCTATTAAGTAAGCTGGATATATATCGAAATAATGTGCACGTACCTTTGTTTGTACTACTACGACATACTACAATTTGTAAGTAGGAACGCTCTAGTGTCAATGCTGCGTAACGACTTTGCGTTCTGGCGCGCCTTATCGGCCCTTATCAATCGTTATCAGTTTCTGGCACCCACCAACAATGTCCCCGTCCCACCCCACATAACACTTGTAAGTATGGTTGCTCTGGTGTCAACGCGAGCCAGGCAACGGAATCGACGACTTCAGCGTTCTGGCGCGCCTTATCGGCCCTTATCAATCGTTATCAGTTTCTGGCACCCACCAACAATGTCCCCGTCCCACCCCACATAACACTTGTAAGTATGGTTGCTCTGGTGTCAACGCGAGCCAGGCAACGGAATCGACGACTTCAGCGTTCTGGCGCGCCTTATCGGCCCTTATCAATCGTTATCAGTTTCTGGCACCCACAATGTCCCCGTCCCACCCCACATAACACTTGTAAGTATGGTTGCTCTGGTGTCAAGGCGAGCCAGGCAACGGAATCGACGACTTCAGCGTTCTGGCGCGCCTTATCGGCCCTTATCAATCGCTATCGCTTCCAGAGTCAATTGGATACACACATGTCGGCCGCCCACATAGATTGAAGTATAGACGCTCTAGTACCATATATGGACGACAAAACGAAATTGGCGATGCTCGCTTTCTAGCCCCTCTTATCAGCTATTATCAGTCGTTATCAGTTCCTATCACGTACCACTTGTGTCCCCATCCCACCCCCTATAACATATGTAAGAACCAGGCATGCGCGCTCATCATGTACTGTGACCGGAAGCTATGAATTTCCAGTGGTCAAACACACATCAGTACACAGATCAGGACTCCACGCTAGTCGGCTTATAGCACGTAATAGTACATGGTCCATCGAAAACCTCATTGAGCTCGCCCGTGCACCATGTTTCCGGGTTTTGTTTTCTTTTGATGTCGTTGATATAGAAAGCCTCTATATGGTTTTTGATAGACCAGAAGGTGCTCTTTGATTACCAGTTGGGCTCAGTTGGATTGAATTGGCCAAGTGAAACTAATTCCGTTTTGAATGTGGGAAAGTGAACCTTTTTTGAACTCCTACTGTATACCAGCTAAAGCAGCGTTTCTTGCTCATCTGCTTGTCCGATTTAAATGGCAATCCTGCTACATGCTTGATTGACATGATAACATTTAAGCATTTATTTGATCACATACACTTGGTATGTGATCTTAAACGTTAAGCGTTTAGAAATAGGTTTCTCTATATATGAATCCTGTTGGATATTTTCGTAGATACCATCTCCGGCACTCATCATATACAAACATCACAAACGCGTAGTAGACAGAGATCATCGCATCTTCCAACCTTCAATGTTATCGATTCAAATTCTTCCAGAAAGTAAGCCCATATTGATTGAAAATCGCATACCGTATGCCATTTAATTTTAAAACCTCGGTTACATATGGAGTGACAGTTATAAACATAGCCATAAAAGTGGTGAACAGTAGAGATGTGTTAAGAACTTGGTTCCTGAAATAAGTCAGGTTGAAAGTAGAAAACAGTATTCTTGTCCTTCTCAAAGAAAAGGTTGATCCGGTCCGGATTTGAATCCTAAGAAAACCTTTGGCATCTGTTATAAGAGAAGCTATGAAATAGGGATCGCTGCCAACCACAGAGAAACAAAGCTGTTATTACAACGATTCAAAAAAGGAGACCATGGTACCTGGCTACTCTCGAACACTTTCTGATGATGATAGAATCTATCTATGGAAATTATCTTTAAATGCGGACTTCACGATGAAAAGTAGCCCATTGAAATTAAGTTAGAGATGGTCAGTGATACACGAAAGAAGAAAAAACCGAGAAAATGGCCTAGAACCCTGGGACCCCTTCTTGCCCGTTGATTTGCGCATTGATGCGACTCTCATCGGTGCTGCCCTCTTCAACGCTAACGCTCTCTCTGCTGAACGGCTAGAGACTCAGACACGAGACGACGCGAGAGGGGGGGGGGCGTTCGGGCCATAGCGCGCCAACTGGGCCGCGGGAAGGCCATGCTAGATCGCCGGGGCATATCCTTCGATGCGAATTGCGTGTCGGTCCGCACCCTTAGGAGGTCCGCCTGTCTCTCCACTAGGTAAGTTTCCCCTTCTTCGACCTTCGTCCTTATCGTGGAACCCTTTGAAAATAAGGCATCTCCCTCTTCGGCTCAGGAGTGTATGTTTGAGAGAACTATGAGATCTCGTATAGAGAAGCTACTGTAGCTGCTAATAATGTTCGATGGAGTATTTTTTCGCTTTTCTTCTTTTCTATCTCAGAAAATTTGATGGCCAACTCAAGACTTTTCTTTCATGGTTAGTTTTGCTTGGAATTTCTTCTGAACTCTAATGCTTCATGGATTCGGATAAAAAGTTAGGTTTGAGTAAAAACATAGAACTTGAAAACTTAGGGGGGGGGGGCGGAGGGGTAATCAAAGATCAATTCGACTTCCGTTTCGCACGTGCTCTTAGATAGAAGCCAACTGGAAGAAATATGGGTAAAAGGGAAAGTTTAAAAACCTTAATATATCAAAGCTTGGAGAAGATCGACTGAGTATTACATGGGAAGAAGTTCTTTATAATGAGAGCAGTCTTGGCGAATACTTCTGGTGGGCACTGTCGACTTAACTTCGTATAGCATTCATTATACAGGGGGGGGGCAAAAAAAAAGACATTTTGCCTCCACTTCCAGATGGATTTAAGCACATTTTACTCAACTCAGACCGAACGGTTCCAACTTATTATTAAAGAGTGCATTCCATTCTATAAGAAAATCTTCATAGTGGCCACGTACGTGGACGGCATCAGAAGAATTAGCCCTGGAAACATGGTGCACTGGTCGATCTCAATGGGGTCTTCGAAGGATCGTGTACCATAACGACCCTTACTGGAAAGCTAGTTCCGAGGGGATTTGCACAGTGGTAGCTAATGCCTCTAGAAAACTATCCAACATTAAATCGATTCACGAAATTGCGTAAGAGCTTCAGGCTGAAGCTCTTACGGTAGACCTCCTTGAGCCTGACGACGGTGACAGATGACGTCATATTCTGAAGACGGTGAGGGCAGTGAAGGAGAGCCTGCGTACTCTGCGTATAACTTATAGAAGGAACAACTCGGTAGGAATTCTGTCCTCCCTTTAGTGCTGAAGGAACTCCCGTCAACGACAGCAATCTCTGCGAAGAAAAAAGAGCCGAAGTCCGACATAGGCAAAATGTCTTTTTTTTTGGCCCCCCCTGCTACATATGCCCCCGTGTAACTTAATATCACTGTATGCTATACGAAAGGGCTACTCTCGGTTGCCCTGCATCACAATTTGAATTTCTTCCCCGTTTTTGGAGTTCAAGGCAGTCGCGACCACTGGAAGTGCGACTACGGCAAAGAAATAACCACTGTGGCAACTTGCTTCCAGACCCTTCCTGGCAGCGTATGTCTGAAATCATTCTCGAATGGAGGAAGTGGCTAACACAAGCATTGCGAATTTCGAATGAATAATAACTTAGTGCAGTATTTCTTGCGGGAGAAAGCTAGGCGCTCGTCAAAAAAGGATAAAGATAAAGAATTTGCCGTTGGTCAACCCGGTTTTGGGATGTGGCCCGCGTTCTCCTTCCATCGGAAGTGGCCTTGAATGCCAGTTTGGCCGTTAGTTACAATGAGTTGGGGGGCCAGCGATGAACAAGTTTAGTGTTTTGTCCTTCCAGACAAGTCTGGTTTACAGATTAAATCTAACCGGCGGATGCTTATGAAAGGTCTTGACTGGGCTCCGGTTTGACGTCGACAGGATTCGAATCCCGATCGCCACGCGTGGTAGTGTCGCACTTGCCACGACACCAGCGTAATCGCCCTATTCGTTGAAAAAAATTATGAAAATTTGGCCCGTTTTGTCAGTGCATTAGGATGGTTTGTGGAAAGGGCGCGAGGCGCTTTCAACCCTCTTCGGTGTTTGAGAGTGGCGATCATTTCATGCGGTGTCGCAATGTTACTAGCGACAGCAGTTGGTGCAAATTTCCAATTTATTGTGTGGGATGCCAGAGTACATTCAAAACATTGACTGTCGATCAGCATTTCAAATTCGCCTATGCCTTTATGTAAAGATAGAGCCGAAAGGAGCTTTATCCTCGGATGACTTTTACAGTCCAGATGGGAAAAGTATACAGGAAGAGGAAAGAGGAAAAGAGGAAAACTTTTCCTTATAAAATATTTGCAGAATAATTTTGGCCCTGCTCTCCTCTCATAGCCCGCCTGCCTACTCATCGGGGCTCCACTACGATGCTGAATGAATGTAGAATGCTGGCAAACCTTGGAAAGAGGGAGGGCAGGTCAAAGGCATACGCCGGTAGCGCTACTCTATATGGAAGGCCTGGGTATTTAGCGCTAGTGAGCGCAATTTTGTTGTAAGGAGAATTTAGTTAGGCTTCGCGAACATTCCATTTTTTTCAAAAGGTTGATTCACTTGGTCTGCCCCTCCCCTGCACATTGCTGATTAAAAACTGGGGAGATCCTAGTGTGAAAAGCGGGGGTCGGTGTATTGTTGCGCATAGTTGATGAAGCTCGGATCTTACCCACTGCTGACCGTAGCTGTCCTCTAAGTCATTCAGCGTTTCGCAGTCCCACAGCTCACGTTGATTTATCAAATGAAAAGGTTTCCATCCGTGTGCCATCATTATCGCTAAATATAATGAGATTTCTTCAGTATTTGATGAGACCGATCTGTACTTACCGAAGTACGTGACAAAACCAGCGTACATTTGGAAAACACCCACTTGTAAATAGGAAAACAGAACCAGTCTGGAAAATAGAGGAAAATATCGATGAGTCATCAGAAGTGAAAACAGCTTTCCATCCATCTTACCTGATGTTGACAAGCCTGTCATATTCGGGATTTCTCGGCGGTCTTTGCGATCGACTATCTGTTTCTAGGAAAACCTCATACGCAAGAGAAATAGCTGGCCACTGAATATCAAGCTTTTGTAGGGTACTGGCAGATTTCGCGTTGAACGGGTCAGAGCTCATTCCCTGAATCGTGGAGCCTACGAGGAAAAATGCACCACAAAAAAGCACATTGGCTTATTGATGTCAACTAGAAAAGCAAAACGGGAGAAGAAAGACGACACGGCTTTTTGGGCATTATAAGTAGGGGAACTGTTTGGAAGAATCTGCCATGATAGTTTCATGTACAAGGTGCATCTATCATCAATTGCTTCTAAACTGAACATGGAGTTTGAGCTGAACGCTAGTTTGTTTCAGTTCTCATCATCTGGACCTCACTTAGTTTCGTTGAAGGCATTACCCAGGATGGAGAAACGAACTGTTGCGAATGAACCGAAAGCAGGGATCGTGTACGATGCCGCCTTAGCAGATGATGCCTCAGAAACGGCGTATCAGGGTCATCAGGCGGCTGGCCAAACCGCCGTGCCGCTTGTCCGATCGCCCGCTATGGTAAGATCCCACTTATGTCGGCTCACTGGTTTGTGTGCTCTCTCGTCTCGAAGAACTTCGCTCCCACCTCGGCGCCCATTACCTTTAACCTCGCAGGCTCCTGCTTACTCCCCTCCACGCCATACATTTAGAACAAAGATCTGTATTCCCTCCATTTCCGTTGATTTCTGTTCCTTTTTCTTTAGTGGCGATTAACCTCGCACTCCTACCTTCACTATAGACGCTGTGACCCCACCTATTTGATCCCGGAGCGTGCCTTCGACTGTTTGAAAACTTTAATCGTTGGCCAAAAAATGATGAGCTAAACACATAACTGACTGTTTAAATCTTCTGTGCCAGGCGAGGTTGATAATTGAAACCCTTACTGGATGGCCTGACGTCAACCTTTTGTCTTCTTCAGAGGCCAAGGATTCCACCAGTTGCTGAGCATTAGTTTACGTCGTGTTAGTAATGTTAATATGAACAAAGTAATCTGAATTGCTAACATGGCGTGAGCTAATTCTCCGCAGTATTGGTGGAACCTTTGGCCTCTGAAGAAGAAGAAAAGGTCGAAACAGCAGGCCATTTGATGAGGGTTCCAGTTATTTATCAACCTCGCGTGGCACAGTAGAATGAAATGATTCTACCAGTAATGCCAGGTTCCAACAAGGGATAAGATGGAGACTAAACCTAATGTTTTTGAAGCTCTTACAATGCACACTAAATCGTACAGCAATAAAATTGATCACCAACCAAGTCCGTTCCTAGATCTATCATCAAGATCGCGACAAGTGACAAAGGAAGAGGGATACCCAATAATACGTAGCACATGAATGGCGCAATTTCTGAAAAAGGAAGAATCAAAATGGTGAAACGAAGTGATGAAGGCATATTGTTTGAGGACTGAGCGCGGGATATGAGACAAGCCGCAATTTAAAGCAACAGTCCCAGCAGGGTTTTTACCTTCGACACTAATGGTGTGGAACGATGCGCTAGCCCTAGTCAAGAACATAAGAAGTGTGACTGAACAAAAACTCACCTTGGAAAGCCGCTAGAAAGGGAGCTGAACGGCTTCGAAGTGGGCGTGGTTGGAATCGGCCGAGGGGACTGCACAACCACGCCCACTTCGAAGCTGTTCAGCTCCCTTTCTAGCGGCTTTCCAAGGTGAGTTTTTTGTTCAGTCACACTTCTTATGTTCTTGACTAGGGCTAGCGCATCGTTCCACACCATTAGTGTCGAAGGTAAAAACCCTGCTGGGACTGTTGCTTTAAGGATCAGTTCCTTGCTCGGATAGTTTCAATGGCAAACTGCCAACGAATGAAGTTCTTTTTTGAAAAATGTCAAACGAAACCTGGAATATTCGATGTCAGTGTGTAAGCAATGCTCTTTTTCAGATTATCAAATATTAGCCGTCCCTCTTCAACACCGGTGACGATGGAAGCAAAGTTATCGTTGAGAAGAATCATGTCGGCTGCCTGCTTTGAAACATCTGTTCCCGCGATACCCATTGCAATCCCTGAATATCAAGCGCTTTTCTAGAGATTATGAGCGAAATCACCCCTGAGCCAGACCTATATCTGCCTTTCGTAGCGCCGGTGCATCATTTACACCATCACCTGTCACACCCACGACGTTGTTCGTGAGCTGGTAGGCTTCAACAATTTGGAGCTTTTGTGCTGGCGATGTTCGGGCGAAAACGACCTGCAAGCGCATTCTCATTCACATTTATGAGCAGATCAAGATCTCAACAATCCAACTGGGAGTGAAGCGTGACCACTCTCACCGCAAAACCAGTGAGTTGGATTGTAAATTTCAATAACACATAAGGAGCTTCCCGGATTTATCGGTAATGAGCCTCTTTTTCCTAAACATATGACAGCAACGTGGCCATATGCAACTCACTTTTTGTGTGTGTGGGCCATATGTGGCCCAAGCGACCCATTTTTTCGTGTATTCAACTTCTAGGCCGTTCATATTCACTCTATGCCTTAATGTACCCGTGAACGGTCAGACGTGCGACTGTGAGGGAAAGCAAAAGAGCATGTCGCTGAAGAGAAGCCACGGACAAACAAGCACTGAAGCCTAGTGGCGCACCATCACGACGTGACGTATCAAAGAAGACAAGGGAAGCAAGTTAAAAGATGCCGTGAGCATTAGACTCTTGACCTTGACCTCTGCAAGACCTTAAAGGGTCACGCTTGGTAGGTTGGGTCCCGGTGTGATCGCCCAGTCGAACTTTGGACGCAGACAGAAATGTGACTGTCTGCTTCCAAAGTTCGACTGTCGCCGCTCCTTTAGTCTTCAGGATGACGTCGAGTCCGGCCTTTTGATGGGTCGCCCCTCCGACTTTGTCCCGCTGGTTCTCCGTATGACATCGTTCCGGTCACCACGTGTCGGTCAGATGGGAGGGTGGATGAGGATGGACACGAATGCTCAAGATGGACCGCGAAAAAGTGAGCAGTAGGTGATCCTTGAGTTCAGGTTGTGGTAGCCCTACATTGTAGAAGTTCATTGTTTATTTTACTTATGGATACTTATTCGCAATTACATGGCAAATGATTGAGTAT